CTCAAGGCCTCAGTTTCTTCCTCTATAAAACAGGGAGAGTAGCTACTTGTGCTGATTGTCATTTTGCCAATCCTGAGGAAATGGCTTAAGAGTCAATTTGTTTTTGCCTCTCATCCAATGACAATGTCCTCATCTGCAAGAAGCAGTTTGTCTGTCACTAACAGCACTGTATAGGAAGGCCTGGGGGATCATCTGTTCCCAGGAACTTTTTTAGACATAACATGTCCAACAATGTATCAAAAAGTATATCCTGGGTGGGAAGGTAGCTCAGTGGCACCCAAAAATAGTGTATCCTTGAATTGCCTCAGTCTTTATTGCTTACATTATGAAGTCTGTGGCCAGCTCATTCCCTGGCAATGTCTTTGGCAGGAAAGCTGTCTCCACATCCCCCAGAGTAGGCAGTAGAGTTGTATCATAGTCGCCATCACCAAGTTATGTCCACAGAGCTGGATAGTGGAGAAACCTTTCTCTCTGATCCCTCTCAGTCAATGGGGGACCAAAAGAAGAAGGTGTCATGTATCTCTTCCTGCACTTTTCTGTTTAACAGCCATGGATAGAAACCTGACCATGGATGAGCTGAATAACCTATGTGTGTCTAGCTGATTAATTGTAATCTTGAGACAACAATAAAACCATAAAGGAATTTCTTTGGGAGGAAAAAAACTCATTCTGATGGATGATGTTGGCGTTTTCAATCTTTGAATTACAGCTTTCTGAGAAGGATCTACCCATTACCTTGGGAGCTTGACAGGAATAAGGCTGTCTCTTTGATCTTTGGTCTTTTGATTCCCTGTAAATATTACTTTGGAGTGTTGATGTAAAAATTTCTGTACCAGTGAAGAGATCAGTGAAGTTTGAACCCAGGTTCAAACTTAGCAGCTGTGTGACCTTGGGTAAGCTCTTTAACCTAAGCTCCAGTTTCCTCCTTTACACAACAGGGATTGGAATATGACATGATGTAGTTAAGATCTTATCATTGTGCTTGTATAGCAATGGATACTAAAGGAAGTAGGGGAAGCCGACCCAGGCTTTCTGTAATTATCCATTTGGTTCTAAAGTAACCTCAAACTTTATGAAACAATGATAGATTACAACATCGGGCCCGGGAGAGAGGAGCAGAAGAGCGTGGCATAGTTGAGAAATCAGGGACATGGGTACACAATGCGCACCTAAATACTCTTATATTTGTTCTTCCTAGTGGCTTATTAAGCCATCGTCCCTGGGTTCTGCTCACCTCTTCCCTAGGTTGGGGATAACGATGCCCATCGCTGGGGATGGTCGGTGAGATGCCCGGGATCGTAGGACCTTGGAGGCGATTACCGGGTTAGGCCGGGACTGCTGCCCAGGTAGGACATCACAGGCGCCGGGGAAAGAGGCCGATGGCTCACCCACGCCTTTGTTGGCAGTCGGGGCGGATTAAAGCCAGAAGTGGCAGCGGGGACATCCCGGGCCTCAGGACCTCTCTGTGACACTAAATATGGGTGGGGGGAAAGGAAAGGGATCATGAGAATTATATAGGCTGCGCTACAGCGCCCCCTAAATGACAGGGGCTCGGGCCACTGGCGAAGGCAGTGAGGCAGGCGGGGCGGGGGGCGCAGCCTGTGGCGGCCAATGGCTGGTGGGGTCGCGGGCGG